GATTCTGTCTATAAGGTGTAAGCAAATAAAGGAACTGGACTGGACTGTTTCATCATTGTTCTTGGGCTGGGCCCGACATATGCAGAACTTCAGCGAGGGGTGGAGATGAGCCTGTCCTGCTACCTCTTCCTCAGATGGGTCTCACAAGCTCCCTTCAGCAGACGAGGTTCCACCACCCTGCCATGCTTGCTGCCCACATCACAGGGCTGCACCCTCCCCCAACATCTGGATCCCGGGCCAGCAGGAAGAAGATGGTGAAGGTCAGCTGGCAGTGGCCAGGAGTGGCAGGGGTAGGGGGCAGAGTACCCGGGGGGCAAAAAAGCAGAGATGGGGGGGGGAGATAGGTGGGGGGGGAGTTGAAGCTGAGGCGTGTGCAGCAGGACAGGAGAAGAGTGAGGTCCTCGCCTAACAATGGCACCGTCCTGGCCTAATGACTGCAACTGGGACTATTACAACTGCCATCACTAAGTGGTATGGTCACGCAATGTTTCGCCTAACAATTGCTTCACTTAGCAATGGAAATTCCAGTCCAATTAGGGTTGTTAAGCAAGGACTACCTGTATTGTTCTAGCTTTTGCCAACCCAGACTTTCATCCTCCATTCCTTGCCCATCATTCAATCCCTATTGTTCTGTATGTGGATAATGCAACTATTCTTTTGGTTTCTCAAATTGGGCTATGTAGAGGTGTCAAGGAACTTTCAAGATACTGTGGTAGAGAATGCCTCAAAATGAACTTTTGCTCTGGTAATCCATAAAGCTGGACAGTTAATGGCAGACCCATTGAACAGGTGAAATAATTTAATAGCCTAGGTGTTTACTTTCAATCCTCCACATGCTAGGGTCATCAAACAAGAAAGTTAACTATGAAAAGATTAAAAAAAAAATCTCTAGCAATCAACAAATTTACTAGTTGGGAGGGAAACAATTTTGTCCCTGTAGCAATTAAATTATTCTAGGTCAAAGTTCTTATCAGGCTGCTATATAGATCTCAGATATGTATTTATAAAAACTTCTCAATCCTTGAATGAATACAAACGAAATTCTTAAATCAATAGCTCACATCCCATATTTGAGTTCTAATGCCATTGCTAGGTCAGAACTAGGCTGCATCTCATTCAAGGCCCAGGCAAGATTATGACATCTAAGATTCTGGGTGAAACAAATCATTTGGGAAACCTCATTGGTACATTTCATTCTATATAATATACATCAATCTATTCTGAAAAAAACAAATAGACCAAGATCTGAGACAATGTGGACTGTCATTACCAGCCTGTAATGGTATGTGGGAAAGACCTTGGGAGATGAGATGCTGCCTAGGGAATGGTCAGATAAGAGACACCATAGTCCACAGTTGAATAGTGGGTGGGGCAAGAGGCTCAGAAGGGACAGTTTCTTGGGCTATAAAGAAACGGCATGAGAATTGTGTTTTCAGACTTGCAAGATTCTCTTAACGTAGCTTTACAATAAAGTAGAATTAGCTTATCTGGTCATGTTTCCTGTCTGGTACACCTGGTACACCTGGCTGACACAGCCCTACCTGCTTTAGGCCTAGAAAAACTCCTGGGAGAATTTAAGCAGAGGATATGGGACTTAAATATTCAGGTAGACAGAGCCAAACTTTCCCATCTCTCATACAGAGAAATTGCTCTCTTCTCCTGGACACTCCCCAATTGCTTCTATAAGATTCTGTATGTTCCACATAGAAGGCTCTTCTCTCTAGCACACATAGATGCTCTCCCTGTTAGGTTGACAGCTGATCGATATGCCAACTTTCCATATGAAGATTGAGTATGTACTGTATTTGCTCAAATATAGGGGTTGAGTCTGTTTCACACATCCTTTTAAAGTATTCACTGTATTCACACTGGCAATCAGAGCTAATATACCTGCTCTTGAATCTGATATACTCCACTCATGATGAGGAGTTTGAGATATCATTATTAAATGACCAATACCCAGGTGTTTCGAAGGCAGTAGCAAAATATTTATAGCCTTAACTTAGAGAAACCATTTGGTCCCGTCAATGAAATGTTAATTTTATAGGGTTTCTTCCTTTTATATATGTATAGACAGGTTACATTCCAAGAGGCTGTTCATAAGTCCATTTTGTCTGTAAGCTCAATCACAGCGTGCCACACACGTACACCCAGAAGTTTACAGCATGGTGCATACATACGCATGTGTACCATAAACTTCCAGGCATATGTATACAGTGTGTTGTACACTTCCAGGCATACATACACATGTGTGCTATAAACTTCTGGGATCTTCCTTCCAGGTCCTTCATTGTTGGAGCTGTTGGAGGTTTGTTCGGATTGGCAAAAGTTTGTAACTTGAAAGTTTGTAAGTAGAGGACTGTCTGTATGTACTATATATAGTTACCTATGCATCTATTAATGGTGTGCTGTATTTTTAAATTCTGTGATTTGGTCTTGGACTATAAATAAATAAATAATGTAAGTCTGGGTTAACATTAAATATTAAGCAGAAAAAGTAATGTCAGCCTACATGGTTAGTAAACTTACAGTTGATGCTGTAGAAGTGAAAGTGGTAAATAGTTGTATTTCCTTGAGCTCAAAAATAGATAGAGGTGGGCAGTGTGCTAGAGAAACAGAGAGATTAATCATAGGGAGGAAAACAGTGACTTAAGAATAAGAATATTGCAATGACAATGAAGAGTGGAATAGTTATAGCATTTGTGAAACGTATGGCTGTGAAAGCTGGACATTGAGAAAAAGAAAATAGAGATTTTTTGATTATGGATTTTGACTTGGTTATGAGGAATACCATGGACAACCAACCAACCAACCAATCCCACACTAAGTAAAGACTGATTGCTGCCTTGAGATAATAATCAGCAAGCAAAAACTCATGTATTTTGCTTCTTTGATGAGAATCGAGGAAAGAAGAAGAAAAGGAAGGCAGTGGATAAGATGGATGGATGGGGTCAAAGAGATCATTGGAACGTCTTTGAAAAAGCTACAAATTATTATCAAAGACATGTCAAGATGGTAAGAATTCCTCCATGCAGTCATGAGGATGAACCTAACTCTGAAAAAAATGGAGATAAAGCAACGCATGAAAATCTAGTTGAAAATGAACTTAAATATTCAGTTTTCCATGCTTATTTCACAGTATCCCACCTCTGAAATAGAAAGATAAAAACAGCATAACTAAAATTATGCCATAGAACAACTTTTCCACAATTTGGGCACACATCTGTAGACCAGCTACCGCAATTCTCAGCAATGATAGTGCTGACTAGGGAATTCTGAGAGTTCAAGTTCAGACATATGGAGCTTGCCTGGGTTAAGAAGGCTGTATTCTTTCCTCTTATTTATCCAAATTAACCTTACCATGTACTCTCACTAAATATTCTTTGTCATCATCTCCTGCAGGGCTAGAAGCCAAACATGTATATCTTCCAGTATCTTCTACCTGGAAGGCAACCAATGTCTCAATTAGAAATAAACCTGAACTAAGTTAAAACAGTTGAAATGGCTGCAAAAGCATTAAATAACTATCTTTCAGCTACCTGAGCACTGGATATTCGAAAGACCTCTCCTCCTCTTAGAATACGAAAATTGTCTGATTGAGGCAGTGGGCGCCCATCCTTCATCCATGTTAGTTTGGGGATTGGAATCCCATCTGAGATACAGAAGAGCTCTAGAGGGTTGTTAATCACTGTAGTAATTTCTTCTGGGTTATCTGATTTATTAATATGAGGAGGTTCTGAAAAAGGACATCCATAATGTCACCCTCAAAAAAACAACATACCCAAAAGTTACAAGAGAGTTATGAGAATAAACAACAGAAAATTCCCATAATATTAATGACTGAGCTGTATGAATAGACCTTAGGCATTGCCCAACTTTTGTATTCAGCTAAAGGCATTTTAAGCAATCAATAAAAACATAATAATTTAGTATAGGATAGCCATTCCAAAAATTCCTTATGGTAGCTCTAATTATATAGCAAATTAACCAGCAATGGACCTAAATCAAAGTTTACCAGGCTGAAAATATTCTTGCAAATGAAAACCTGGTTAGAATGTGGGGGGGGGGGGGGAAGCATCCCAAGTAATTAATGCCACACGCTTTCTACTCTTGGTTTAGTAACAACATTATGATAGTTTCTGGTTGATCAGACCACTAATTAGTTGTAAATAGATCATCCTTACCTAGCACTTTCAGAGTAAAGTGCTGGTTGACTTCCCCAGCTTCATTAGATGCTATACAGGTATATCTACCTGTATCATTAATCTCTGACTTTAATATATGAATACCCATTTTTGGGTTTTCAAGAGTCACGTGAAAGCTAGTGCTTAAAGTCTGACCATCTTTCAGCCACGATATAGTAGGTATTGGTGTTCCATTAGCCAAACACACCAAAGATACTGGATTCCCTTTTACTACAGTTACTTCTTCTGTTTCTCCACTGTTGTTTATGCTTGGAGGTACTGTAAGGAAACAAACCCATGGAGGATATAAAAATTATTTTTCATTATGAAACAACAAACTGATTTCATCTCAGAAAATGTATTAATTTATTTCAACATTATGACTCTGGGTGGTTAACAACAGTGTAACAAATTCACAATAAAATCAGCAGCTGAGATTAAAAAAAACAACACCACCACAACCATGAGCTCTACCATACATCCGCGGGCTCTACCATACATCCCAGAGTCCATGCCCAGTGACAGAACTAAAGTCTTCAAAGCCTTTCAAAAGGCCAACAAGTTTTTTGAGAATCTGATCCCTGGGAGAGGATGTTCCAAAGAGCAGGTGCCAAGACAAAACAGTCTCTCTTCCTCAGTCCTGCAAGCTGGAAATCTTTAATAGTTGGGAACCATAGCATGTCTCTCCTGCCAGATCTGATAGGACACAATCAGGGAGAAGTAGTCCCTCAGATAATCAAGCCCCATGCCATGAAAGGCTTTATAATACCTTGAATTGAACCTGGAAGCACACTGGCAACCAATGCAGCTAGTAGACCAGAGATGTAGTAAACGATGATCAAGGAGCACATATAAGTCCCCCACACTGCTGCATTTTGAACCAGCTGCAGCTTCCAGATGCTCTCCAAGGATAGCCCCATGTTTTCAGTCATATTTGCTCATGCAACTTTCTTATGAGGACCCATATTGTTAGCAGGTCAAATATAGCATTCAGATATTATCATGAAAATCATGTCAATCACTGTGTACATAATGAAGGAAAGGACTATCAGGAAAAAAATAAGAAAATAATGCTAAGAACAGAATAGAATTTAAGATGTGTGGAGTCCCTGGGGTCTCTGAGCTTGGTTGTTTTCTTGCAAACATTTCGTTATCCAGCTAGGTAACATTTTCAGTGCTTTAAGAAGTTTTAAGAAATTTAAGAAGTGCTTTTCAATAACAATAAAAATACATTCTAGTATACAGAGCACTGTACATATGAGCAAACCACTCACTTAAAGGACTTTGGGAAAATAAGGACTTTACATAAAGATGTGAAGTTCTACAAGAAAGATAAAAAGCATTAAGTAAATATAGGCATATACAGGTAGTCCTCACTACCAACCACAACTGGGACTGGCAACTCTGTCGCTAAGTGGCACGGTTGTTAAGCGCGATGTCATGTGGCCATGACTTGTGACTTCCTGCCAGCTTCCCCATTGACTTTGCTTGTCAGAAGCTGGCTGTGAAGGTCACAAATGGCGATTACGTGACATGGGATGCTGCAACCATCGTAAATGAGTATCAGTTGCCAAATGCCCAAATAACAATCATCTGATTGCAGAGACACTGAAACAGCCACAATTTTGAGGACCGGTCATAAGTCTCATTTTTTAGCACCGTCATAACTTCAAATGTTCACTTAACATGTGTCAGTAAGCGAGGACTATCTGTATTTAGGAATACACAAAGATGTACCAATTTTACTCTATATTGCTTAAAAATGGCTTACCATAAACCTGAAGGCTATAAAGTTTATTGTCGACACCAGCTCTGTTGGAGGCTACACATGTGTACATGCCAACATCAGCTAGCTGTGCTTTAACAATTCTGGAAGGAAGACAACCAAAACCGATTTTGAAATTAAAAAACTCCTTATTCTGCCTTATGCAGAGCACATACCAATTTATAAAATAAAAGGCTAAGACGGTCTCAAGTTAAGCTCAATTCCTGATGGCTGCATCCATTTTTCTTGGCACTGTTATGGAAATAGTTTGTAATTGCATTCTTCTGGGATGTTTTTTGACTTCCCAGCTTAGCCAACAGGCATAAAATTCCCAAGCACTCCCCCATCCTGGTACTAACCAGGGTCAACCCTGCTTAATTTCTGAGATCTACCAAGGTTGGCCTGATGCAGACACCTGCTGAGGCATTTATAAAACAGGGCTGTGAAAATCTTTGATTCAGAGTTGCAGTTCAAAGTTGACTGGGTCAATTGACATTCTGAAAAGTTGATCTGATTTGTCAGATTAAGCTGAATGCCTTTGAAATTATTCAGATGCTTCTGCTCATGCTGATGAGTTTCCACATGTAGTTAATTCAGATCACTTTCCTGAATCTAATCAATGAACTCAGCTGGGTTTTGCTGGATTTGTATAGGCCTATTAGGAAATAAGTGTTGTGTTTGTTTGAGATTTTGGGAACCTTTCAAATATTCCATATAAATTGGACTTTCTCCAGGTACTGTCTAATTAAACTCATACTTTTAATAATAAGATTTAGATACCTTTACAGATGTTCTCAGGAGTCTCCCCCCCCCCTATTTTTTTTGTAAAGGAAAAGTCTTTTAGCAAGTTTTCCAAAAGATCTAATCTACAAATAATGTTAGGCCTGTCAGATGGGGACACAGAGTGATTATGATTGGCTCTCTTTTTACACATGACTAATCTGTTGAATCTTTGCTATTAAGAAGAGGATAGTATATATTATACACTAAGTTAGAATTAAGTCTAAAGGAAAATCAGATGAGTTAGTGGGGCCTATTGGGGAGCCAGCTAAATGCTAACCCCAGTCTTCGTCCCTGCCCTGGGAATGTTCAGCTATTTTCTGAAATAAATGACAAAGGTATGACACAGGCACAAATAAACCCAGCACTGGCCAGTAACTCATCTTGATTTCTATTTATACAGGATGGATCACTACAGGATCCAAGAGGATGTGCAGGATGCAAGAGAAGTAAATAAATGCAATTTTTATTGATTTACTTCCAAATGATTTCTGCAACTTCAAATTCATAAGGAAAAAAGAGAGAGATTAAGGACAGAGATTGGAGGCAAATAAAAGCAATATATCATTTTCTCCCTTCATAAGAAATCAGAGAACTAGCCCTAATTGTTGGAAAGAATGGCACTTGTCCTTCAGAACATTAAAAATGCAGTGAAGTTAATATAATTGTTGATAATTAACGCCAGTATCCAATAGTCTTCGGATTCTCAATGTGGCGCTTAGGAGCCAATGTGCCTGCAGGTACTTTCCTTGACATCCTCCAGGGTCTATTCTAACCTGATTTTTTTTTTTTTTTTACATTTTAAATCCTTTTTCAATTCAGTAAATGGGAGGCTTCTACGCTACAAAACAAAGTGCCAGCTCCAACATAATCTTTATTTCCAAGAATGCCCAAATGGACCTAGGCACCCATTCCGAAAAAGGGCAAAGATAACAAGGGATAGTAAGGAGAGGGGCCTTGAGACCATGGCAGCTACAGCTTTCTGATAAATTGATTCTGATGACATAATGCACAGCGGCCAGTTTGTGAATGAGCAAGCCTTCTGGATGGACATTTTACAAACAAGTTCACAATATGTTCTGAATGTTTCAGTTGTGCCCGCCAGCCCCCCAAAATGGGGGGGGGGGGATCTACTTCTTGAAATTATGAAATCATTATACAAAATGAGCAGTTTTCATTTGGTATAACCTAAATTAATGAAACCTTACCTGAGTACCTGTCCACCTGAGAGTAACCTGATGTGGGAAGATGTAGAGAGGGGAAGACCATTTTTCAGCCAATTTATCTGTGCAGATGGAGTGCCCACAGCTTGGCATTCAATGTTTATTGAAGTATCTAATAAGACAGTTAGGGCCTCAGGTACCTCTTTATTTTTATTGATAGTTGGTGGCACTAAAATTTGTAATCAAATAAGGCAAAAACAAGTTACTTTTCAGCATGTATACCCCTCTTTTAAAATGATTTAAAATCATTTCAAAATCAAGAGTGGAGAACCTGTTAACTACCAACAACCCCAGCCAATACGGCCAGTGGGGATAGATGCTATGAATGTTAGTTCAATGGGAGGAGCACCACAGGTTCAATATCTCTATTCAGAATAAGAGCAATGCATGATTATAAAACAACAGTATCAGAAAAACAGTATCAGAAAAAAACAGAACACTCTGAAAAAAATTAAAAATCATGAATTAGCAGAAGCAGCATAAGAAGCAACTTGATACAGTGCAAACATTTGGTGAAAACTCTTTACTGCTCATCTGAAAATGAGTCAAATGGATCATCTCTGAGGGTCTGAGACCCATTTGAAGTAGCAACACCACTATTCTATTTATAGAGGGATTTAGAAGAGGGCCTCCAAGGAGGAAAGTAGTTGCTGGTATATTAAATAATGGAAATTTGAAATTATTCCCAATGAAATAGCTCAACCTAACTGAACCCCAAGGTGGCAGCATTACTATTTTTCTCATCCAAGAAAGATTCCTCATAGTATTCCAAATAAATCATGTTGAAATGTGGTGATCAGGAGCCCTTCTATTTCCTTTAATAGATCATGTGGAATTTCTTTATAAATTGTGCCCATTGCCAGAACGCATTTCTAGTTCAATCCGTCAAAAAGACGCAAATGATAATAATTGTCTCTTCATATTTATAAATTGTATCTTGTCCTTGTAGACCCACATTTTTCTGCTTCTTCTTTTTTAAACACTACCATTCCCACAGCTCTTATACATGTTTTAAAGTTGTCTTGTAAAATGTTTTGAACTCCAAATGAGTCTGTTTCTGATGTAACAGAAAATGAAGCTGGGCAGAAATGGGCTAGAAGCAGAAATATAACTGGGGCTGTTCTGCTTTCAGGACAGAACTCTAAGATCATCTAGCAGTATGGAGGGGAATTCAACAGATGTTCTTATTTACAGTACATTTATATATATATGTATATATAAATATATACATGATCAAAAGAAAGTGATAAAACATGTGATTCTAAATGCTGTACATGTCTCATAATACGAGAACATTTTTGATTGGTAGGGTCAACTCAAATTGCTATGATAATTATATTTCTTGTTCTCCAAAAATGTTTTCTGAGAAGCTGTATCCTAACTTAGAAATAATTTTCCATGCTTTCATCACAGAGACAATTTTGCCTGATGTGGCTGACTCAGATAGTTGAATCAGTCATGCACTAGGCATTTTTAAAAATCCTCTCAGCCACTGCAAGGGAGGCTGAGAGAAGGATATCCTTTCTGTTTCTGTTTTTGTTTTTCCTGATAGTGTGAAAAAATCCACAGTGCTTTGGTTAGAATTGGAACTATCATGGACAAAGAGGTACCCCTTGCTACCTCTTTCTGCTCTCCTTTCACCCATTAGATGGGCAGGGGAGGATTAAAAATTAAAAGGGCAGAGAAGGGTGCTACAAAGTGCTACTTTTTATAGGACCCTGGAGGACTTACAGGAAGCAGGAAGGTTCACTTAATTCCATGCCAAGACATTTAGCCAAAATGGCTAAGCAAGGGACTAATTTATCTTAGAAATCCTGAGACTCTTTTTGTCCTACAGTAACCCCTTTAGGATAAGCTGATTGGATTAGTTTTCTAGGCTAGGGTCTTTGCACATATTCCAACTACCCTCCCTATGATCCATATAAGGATACCATACCAACAAAGCCATAGTCAAACCTGGTTAGCTGTCAGAACTACTTGGAAGAAAGGTATATTTTAAAAATTGGGAATAGTAATAAACTGATGCCAAAAGGAAAGGAAAGGAAAAAGACTGAGTATTTTGGGGAAAACTTTTCATAAATACCTCTCCCTGAACAACCTTTTGTTTCTGTGTATGCCTGTAAAGGCAATTAATTTCAATGCTCAGCACCTCAGGACTGAGGCAGCATACAAATATTAGAGAGAGAGAGACAGAGAGATAGATGTGATTACAGGTGACTGCATGATGGTGTGCATGACTGCAGTGTTGCCCAAGGCTTCATCCTATATGGCAGGAATTCCCAACAAGACCTCAAGGATACATTCAACCTCACAAAGTTTTGAGTGTAGCCCTTACAGTGGCTAAGTGTAGCCTCCAAAAGTTGCCATTAATTTGTATTTTTGATGAGAGAAGGAGGAGGTGTAAATACATAGGTTGTAATGGTACTGACCGCATTTTAGACCCAATTTTATGTCTGTACTCCCCCTCTCTCCATTTACTGGAGTGTAGTCCCTATTAATAGGCCAAGTATACTTCTATGTCCAAAATAAAGGCGCATAACCCTGCTATATGGATAGACTGTGACCTATACAGCTTCTTTAAATAAAGAATTGCAACCTTAAATAAAGGTTGCAGAGCATCTCCCATCAAGCACATGTTCCATCAAACCCATATTGAAAGCAACATTTTTAAATAGTTAACATGCCTTTTTTTAACTAAAAGGGTTGCCCTTTGAAACTAAAACTTGATGTGAAACACTGAAACCTATATAAATTAGGGTTAAATTTAGTTTAACCCTAATTTATCCAAATGTTCATACTTGGTTATATGAGAATTAATGCCTCTGTGAATGACTTTTTTCCTATAGTTGGTTCACTTATAGACTGAATTCTCCCTCTTCAACAGGGAGAAACTGAAAAATATGACAGAGCTTTACTTTTTCTTTGTGACACCAATATATTATTGAATCTTTACCCCTTTAACTGTTTACTTTTGGTAATAACAGCTCAAAATCTATATATAAATGCAAGCAGGATTTTAATAAGTTCTTTTGATACCACAGAGATTAACCAGTTTATTATCTCATAAATTAATCCACAGGATTATTTTATTTTAGGTAATGTGAGCTACATGACATTAAGCAGTAATGGCCCCATCTTAATTTAGTCATTATAAGTAATGGTTAAATTCATATACAACCTTAGTTGCATGATCTTTTTCTTCCTTTACCAAGTAGGAAAGATCTTATGAGAGAGATGACTCACATTTTCACAGGTTATAAGAACAACAAACAAAATCAAAGCTCACCATATATATTCACACTGAATATTCGGTCCTCTTCCCCTGCAGGATTGGTAGCAACACAAGTATATTTCCCTCCATCACTTGTAAGGGCCCCAAAAATGTTTAGTAAGGTCCCATTTGGAGCCAGGCTGAAGAAAGAAAGTCAGAGAGTATACTGAATGCCATATTCTTGCCTGCATTTACCATTTCTATATGTACAAATATTCATATGAGTGGCGTGTGTTTGAAGGTAATTGGATTTTAAAAAAATTTTATTAGCACCAAATGCAAAAATAACTATAACCTAAATAGACCTAGGTCTCATGAAACTTCCCCCAAAATCCCAAGCTTGGTCCTTATCACTTTCCTCCTGCCTTGGTTTTCTACACCTTTCTTCCCCTTTGCTTTTACTCCCCTTACTGTCCCTGCTCTTGTTTGGACTGTGCTTCCCTTCCCAAAGGCACAGTTCATCACTTAACCTGATACGCTGAGATTCATCACTGCTGATTGGTTTTCCATCTTTTAGCCACTGAATGACAGGTGTAGGGATTCCACTGGCCTTACAAGAAAGCTGGATGTTTTCTCCAAGGATGCCACTGACTTCACTTGGCATTTCAGAACCAACAATATCTGGAGGAACTTCAGAAGAAAAATATATGTATCAGTAGTAACTGCACAAGGCAAAGAGGAAAATACAGTAATGCACAATCCATTGAAACACTAGGACGTCTTGGAAAAGGAAGGCTCCTGAGTGCTTCTACATCTACATCTCCAATCACTCTTACTTCCATGCAAATTAATTCGAAGATTTTAGAAAGAAAACAAAAGTTTGGTAAGCATAGAAAGTTCAACAGCACATAAAGCTGTTGAATTCACAGCGCTGAAGATGGATGTTGTTACATTAGATATTGATTTGTAAATAGCTCTGGAACATATGAGTAAAAAGGAGCTACTCTGCATCTATTTCTCAGTTTAAAAAAAGTAAGAACATACATACATACTCTGAACAGAAAGGACATAAAATTTCTGAGCTTTGCCTTCTACGTTTGAAGCAATGCAGGAATAATTTCCATTATCAGAATAGTGAGGCCTGGCAATTTGCAGCTTGCTTCCTCCTGACAAAATATGCAACTCGAGGGTGGCAGAATTTTCTAAATACAAACAAATGGGAAGAAATTAGAGTATTCAAGTCTCTAACAAGCTGGTTGATTTTCATGTTAGCTCTGTGCCCATGCTTTGAAATCAGTTGCTGATCTCTGACAGCTTAACGTATATCAGAAGAAAAGAATGTAAAGCATAGAACATCTGTTCAGTTAGGTCTCACAATTTCACAAGAACTGGGAAGTGGAAGAGAAGATACAGGCTGTTCCTCTGAGTGAAGGATGCACCACAACTATCCGAAGCATCCACGAGAGGGATAAATAATGAAAATGACATTGCACCATAAGCTCTTCCCCTTATATATGTGTATTCTGACATCATACGCATATATCGATGGTGCAATGTTGCTTTCAACCTTTTGACAAAAGGAACATTTTTTGCAGACATCTTTGATTGCCATCCACCTCTCCCAAAGTACTTCCCTTCACCAACCTTGAAAAAGCCAGCACGTAGAGAATCAGAAGAAAAAATCCTTTAAAAAACATGTTCAGCAGTTCAAGAAAGATAGGCTCCTCTTACAGAGATTCAAGATATCCATTTGGCATCCAACTCCCTTCCTTCCCCCCTCAAAACCCCAGGTGTTCTAGGGGTGCTCTGAAGGCTGTAAAAGAAGTGCGGGGGGCTGCACGCAGTAGTGAGTTGTCCAGCTTTGGCTTAGAGAGAGTCCATTTCATATAAACTGATCTTGTTGAACTTGTTCAGCTCAGAAGAAACCTTGCTTCTGTTTTCCCTTCCAGCAAGCAGGAGAGGTTCACACATTTTTCCTTCCCGCTCAATAGAGCCTATTCCTTGACCACACAAAACAAGCTATTCTTTCACTTCACTGAGCCTAATATTTTAAGCTCCATTTTTCCAGCCTCAGTCTCATCAGCCTTAGCCTATACTTGCCTTCTTAAGTATTAGCTGTCTGGATATTTGGGGGGGAAATGTCTTTCTGTTTTGACCTTACAGCAATTTTATCCGAATCCATTCTTCATTTTGCATCTTGGAAAATCCAACAAGCAGCTGATAATAACTACTATTATGTGAGTGTTAGAACACCTTACCAAGTGGTTTTCCATTCTTAAGCCAAGTTATTGCTGGTGGAGGAATTCCAGTAGCATCACATGTAAGAGTTACAGGGTTGCTGATGGTTTCATTGATCCACTCTTGCTCAGGGCCTTCAATGGTAGGTGGTACTGTGAATGAAGACAGTGGGTTGATACATGCACCAAATTACCAAAAGGATCATAATGGATTCTGGAAAAAACAGATGGTCTTGATAGGGTCTGTACCTCATTCCTTCCTTGTTGTGCAACAAGAAGTATTATGAAATACTGTTTGAACCAAGGTTTGAATCCAAGTAAAATCTGTCTATTTTGTCCTGTGTCCAATTTGATTCACTGATTCTAATAAGGATCACTTTGTTCAGTCTATTAAAAGCTTACCATGAACATTAAGATCGAAATTTTTGTCATCACGTCCTGCAATATTTATGGCTTTACATACATATTGGCCTGTATCAGATACCTGAGAATGTAAGAAAAAAGTGATATGCAATTATCCTTTTACTAACTAACCATTTTTAAAAAGTATCATTACTAAAAGAATGCCATCACAATATAAAACTCAAGGCAGAGTCCAATAAAATTAAAAGGTCACTAAGTACTGGAGTGGGCTTCTATCCAGTTCAGCTGTTGAACTACTGTAAATGAATCAGCAAGCCCTTTACAGGTAGCCTTCACTTACCAACTGCCTTGTTTAGCGACCATTCAAAGTTATGATGGCTGGAAAAAAAAACAGCTTTGTGACCAATCCTCACATTTATGGCCATTGCAGTGTCCTGAGGTCATGTGATCACCATTCAGGTGCTGTGCAATTGACATGCTTTATGACCATTGCAGCATCCCATGGTCACATGATCACCATTTGCGAGCTTCACAATCAGCTTCCAATAAGCCCAATTAATGGAGAACGCGGAAGTGAAATCGCAAGTCATGGCCACATGATGTCTTACTTAACAACCACAGTGATTCACTTAACAATGGAAGCAATGCCATAAGTCCGGCATGGTCACGTGTTTTTTCACTTAGCGACCACTGTGCTTAGCAACAGAGTTGCCAGTCCCAGTTGTGGTTGGTAAGCATGGCCTATTTGTATAACAGTTAGTTTATTTGAATGCAAATCAACAATACACCTAAAATGAACTTGTTTACATTTTTTCAGCTTCATCTATCATTATGAATCATGGCAGTTGATTCCAATTTCTGGTCTGTTTTTATATATGATGTATACCACTTTGAGGACCATAATGATGTGAAGTTTGGGCTATACTTTTAAAAGTATGGAAACAAAACATACATGTATACCTCAGCAGTCTTGATATGGAGTGTCTGTCCACCTGCTGTAATCCCTACTTTGGATGAAACTGTGATCATACGCCCATTCTTGTACCAGGTGATGATGGGAGGTGGAACAGCATTGGATTCACACTCTAATGTCACTGGCATTCCCACTCTCACATTGACTACGGCAAGAGCTGTGCTGCTGTGGCCTTTAATACTTGGAGGAACTTTGGAGTAGGGGGACATAAGAAAAAAAAATTTCTTTGACTTTTCCCAGAGAATTGCTATGTTAAGAGGAACTGTTAGATGTTAATACTGACAATGGAAAAATGTTCTCTTTTTAAGGATGTAGAAACACACCATAAACAGTAAGGAAACTCCTCCTGATGCTTTCTCCAGCACTATTTCTGGCTATGCAAATATATTCACCGCCATCAGATAAACGTGCCCTCGGAATCTGCAATGTGCGACCACCTGAAATTATTCAAAGAGAACAAAATGGTTCAAGTGAGTTACCATCATCACATTAACAGAATTTTGTATGCAAATTTTATCTGGAATTCTAACAAAAGCTACAGAAAGAAAATAGAGACACGAATGCTCAGTGCTTGGAATGAATAAAGAACACCAGTGGAGACATCTCTGTTTTAAGATACAAAAATGTTCAACTATGAAAAAACTCTAAAGAACATTGGAAACAGCCACCTTTGCATGCCATCAGTTGTTTGTACTCTTAAGATTAGCCACAGAAATTCTGAATTATCTTAGAAGAACAGCCTAAAATTCAATAATAAATCTAAGCTAAACAAATCACAGTTAGCTATTCTGTTTTAAGTGGATGAGAAGCATACAACTGATAGTTCCAAATGATTACAACATTCTAAGAAAAAAAAAAACTCCAAGAGGTGATATTTTTCTTCAGATAGTATCAGTGTAACACATTATACCAGGTATATGGTTGACCCTTCAACACACACATTTTGCCCTATCCATTTCTCTGTCCCCCTTGCTGAAATATTGAAAAAAGAGGGAGGGAGGGAGGGAGGGAGGGAGAGATAGAGAGAGAGAACTACTCTATGAAAAAAACACCCAGAGATTACTTACCAGGAACAATGAGAACATTTGTGTTCAAGTTGAGATGTTTTCCATCCTTGAGCCAACTGAGATCAGGAGGTGGGAAGCCAGTGACCTCACATGTCAATGAGATGAAGTTATTCACCACAACAGTTAAATTCTCAGGATTAATTCCAATAATATTGGGAGGCACTGTTAAAAGATAACTATGTCTAAATTTTGCAGTCTCATTTATTAAAGGTTCCTTCACATCCAGTTGCAGATTAAAACATTACAGCATCACCTTCCCAGACTTCAGCTGATTTTTCTACTGGGGAGATGGGAAGGAATTAAGGGGGAAAATGGGACAAGATTTCTGTTGCTGCCACAACTTCTTTCTTTTCTGACTCTTTCTTTTTTCAAAGATTTATTTTGATGGTCAATGACCAAAATAAAATGACTGACACTTTTCAATCTAGGTGTGTCTAAGTGGAACAGAATAAAGTGCAAATATATTTAATTTGTTCACACACATACAGAAACACCACTGGATTGTGGATTTTTTACTTTCTCAGTGTAACATGCCTCATAAGGGTAATGGGAGGAACACTAGGTTAAAGATTGTGGAAACTGTGCTAAGTGGAAAGTAAATAACAGTAACAATCACAGTGACATTATCAAGTTTCAATACCATTCTTATGAATAGATCTATGAGTTAATATTGAGCAAAATCAGCAGTGGATTATGTATTCTGTACCATCTGGAAAAATCATTTATTTTCATTTTTTTTCCCAAGTAATCAGGCTAACACACCAGTTTGAAAAGGAAATTATCATTTCTTTATAATTGCCCTTACCTATTTCAGAATAATATTCATTCATTCATTTATTTATTTATTTATAGATCAAATTTGTCACCATCCATCTCATTAAAAAATGACCCATTTAGCTTAATGGCTTGCAGTTTGTTTTATTCAAACTGGAATTTGGAAACCTAGAAAGTTTTGTAACTTTGCCTAGTGCATTTTTAATTTGGTTTTTGGGGGTTTCCCGAAAAATTTATTTGGATACTTTGCTGTCGATCAGTCTCATTTTAGACTTTAAGTTCACTGCTACCTATATTCAAAGAATATATTAACTAAAGTATAGAAATGTGAATTTTGTTTTCATTTACATTAGTTAATCTGTGTCTTTTTTGTCCTTATTCTTTATCTATTTTTCTTCTGTCAGCTTAGCAGCTCTATTTCTGCAAAACATACACACAAACAAACAAATCTGGATTTTTTGTTCCTGCTTCCAAGCTTGCTGCTACTTCTAAATAAATCACAAGGCCTGGCCTACTGCTTTCAAATAAGTCAGGAAACATGAGACAAAAATAAAAATGTGTTGCAGTTCTGGCCTATAAGGGATTCAGCAACCCTAAACTTAAATTGGTACCACACACTAATAGAACACTACAGATGTATTTCCCTGTTCCAGAAAAGGAGCTAACAGGCATCTTATTGTTTAGTGTTGCTTGCCAAGTGATAAAATTGGACTTCTCTCAACTGCATTTCAACATCTCTTTCTCTCTCAGTGGATAAACCATTACAATGAAAATGTAACAAATAGAAGAGGTAGTTATGTAAAAATACGATTCATGTTTATGATTCTAAATTCAGTGAAGATCAGAGGAGATTTTTCTTAATGTTTTCATCACAGACCCAATTTCTAACAACCCTAACAAATGCTGCATCTGATCTTATTTCCAGTGCCTTCCTTCAGGAATTGTTTCCAGTTCTGCATTCCTAGTTTTCATTCCTAGCTTTCTCTTTCCTCATCTTTTCTACTCAAACTTTTATAAATACCGTATCAACATTATTTTCCCTGGAACTTGCTGCAACCCTTTTCATGTTTACTGTATGATTCTAATTCTCCTGATTTAGTAACATTCTCAGTTTATGTGTGATTCTAATTCCCCCGATGTCTGTTTTGAATTAGTGCTAGTTCTTCTGTAATAAACAAACTGCTCTCTTTCAGAGCTTTGTGGGTGATCTTTTAGGCTATCAGATTTTCCCTAAGCGTACATGTGTTCAATTTACATATATATAATGTGCATTCATGTATGTAAATTAGCATAAATGGATATATAGTCTAAACTAATAGAAACAAAAATAACACAAGTCCCTGCTATTGTACTGGCTAGGCTGAAAAGTTGAAAAAATAAAATAAAATAAACTTCATCACAAACTAGAAAATGAAATCACAGTCTTGGAACAGCATGGAATACTTGAAAGAACGTTGCTCGAAACAGCCAAGATTTGATCTAAGTAAGGGATAGTCTGCTTTCTTCCAAGCTTAAAACAATTGCAACACAGGCATTTTGTTTTGAATACAGAACACTTGGAACCACCATATCAAGCTCAGAACATTCTGCATCTTCTACAATTACAAATAAATTTCAGGACCTGGAGCTTCTAGGATAGAAATACCTGTCTTGATTTCAAATTCTCTTCTTATTTACAGAAACCACACCGAAACTTTGATGCCTTTTTCTGTTATTATTAACATTTTCAAAAGTGTGTGTTATGATTATGAACATTTTATTTTTTAAAATAAAAGTTTCATTAGGAAAACTTCTCGAGTTTTTAAATTTAAAAATGAAAACAATACCGGTTGGATTGATTTAAAAAAAATACACAATTTCTTTTTGGACAATGATCATACATCATGGTTAGCTCTTATGCTTTGCTTAACTGCTGAACATTTTTGGTTTGTTTGCTCATTTAGGTATTAAAGAATTAGAACTTTTATGAATCAAAATGCCAGTTGTTGCATGGAAAGAAGTAACACATCCTCTGTTGCAGGAGGGCATACAGAATGAGTTTTATTGTGCTATCCAGGATCATCAGGCAAAAAATTATGTGACAGTCCTTTGCTCTTCCACCTTCTTAATACAGACTTTCTTCCTGATCAAGCAGACCTAACTTAGGCCTCCATTTTTCTGGCTCTACTTAGTCATGTGGTAGTTAAATGAGGACAGCTTATGAAATGAAGAAAATATCTACCAATTTAAATTATAAATTTAAAATTATTGCATGAAATTTAGTAAATATTAAATTAAGAAGCAATTACAGGCACTGTGTAATCCTTGAGAAAATATTGACCAACTTTATATATGGAAAACTTTCAAAAATGATACAAAAGAAAGAAAGTAAGCCTCTCTATGGCAGAACAGCTCTTTTCTCTGACTCAGGCACAAAATTCTTAAAAGACAAACCTCATCATTCCCCTTGTATCTTATTTATATCAGGCACCTTTCCAACAAACCAACATCCTTTTTACAGAAAAGTTATCCATGAAGCCATGCTCATCAGTCTTCTCACTCCACAAATTTCTAAGCTGGGACCCCACATAGTTCTTCAGTTGCTGAACAGGTCTTCATTACAACTTCTAATGTATCCACAAAACAACCACAAATAGTATATCAGAAGTCTTCTCAGTTTGAAGTCCACTTTGTAATTTTACCAAACAGCAGGGCCAAGTGTAGTCCACCAGTGAACTCCATTTTTCAAAATGCACAGGAACGTATCCTCCCTTTCTTATGTCCCTGTTCTTCTTGCTTATCTAAACATCTCTAGCATAAACTGGATGTCCACAGAATTTCCAAATATACTTTCTGCAGACAGCCTTTATTTTCAGCCTATTTTCAGGGGCAGAAATGGCCTCTTCCTATAACATTGCATGTTGTATTGTATACGCCAGCTGGAATACAGTATTTCTAACCCTAGCATATGAGTTACAGTACATTCCAGGAATCTTATTAATTACTTAATATTCCATTGGCCATCTCCATAAATGAACCAGTACCACCATTTTGGAGAACTACTTGGGGTTCAGTCAACAAATTCACTACCATTAAAAACTAGTCTTATATCTCTTAGCAGATACAGCATTTGGCAAGACAAACAATATTTGAGCAAGTGCTTTTGAGGTAGTCAACAGCCAGAATGACCCATATAAGCTACAACAATGCTTTATATATCCTATCCTGTATATTTTATCAAATACCAACAAGAAGGGAGTATTGGTTTACCATGAAATTATTTTTTGTTGGTATGAATAGAACATACAGAATCAACCCACAAATCTATCTTTTTTGCAAGTGCTTTCTTAAACACTATGAATCATAAAAACCATAAATAAGTTTCTGTTCTCAAGTTGTTCGGCTTGTAATTTACATTTCCTGACAGCTATTAGGTTTATGCACTATTTCTTCAATGGAATTTCTCTCTCTCAAGCTTAAATATGATAACAAACTGGTGCAGTTTGTCAGATCATTTCTTGTCTCTTGAGCCTGGGTAGAATGATGAAGCCCATTCAAATGCTCTCACACCACAAAAAGCAGCTTTCATGGTAAGAATGAACATTCAGAATTCCATAATTTCTTGTATATAGAGAACAAGAGAAGTCAGAATGAACGGTAAGACTGGTGAGAAAAGCATAAAAAGATCAAAGAGATGAAGAACTTGGAGGGAAATGATTAGTTCAGTATTGAAGGAGCTGAGTTTGAGATGGTGAGGAGACATCTGGTCTATATCATATGATATATCAGATATATCAGAAGTGAAGTAGAAATACAAGATGGGAAAGGGATAGCTAAATATTATTAGATTTTAGGTATATGGGCTTTCATGAAGTTATCTAGGGTAAGAGGAAAGTGATAGAGTAGCCGAAATCAAAGAACAGAATCCTAGGAATTCAGGATGTCTCCCAAGTTTCCGATTATTTGGTGTTATATTTCAAGGACATTGGGTATTTTTAAATTAAAAAAACAAAAAAACAAATCAAGCAGGAAGAATGACAAGAATGCTTCAGTTTTTTTGGCACTGAAGGGAAATAATTTATGATTGTGAATGACATGTTTTTTTCTTCAGAGACACAAGTTGGGTGGTCCTTCCCATGATTTTCTTCAATAAAGATTTTCAGAGAAGTTCTAGCCAAATGTTAATTTCCTATAAAAATAATTCTTAAGAGTGAGATGGGACTCAACTAAAGATATTGGTATACTTGTAATTATTTAGTTAACATCAGAACAAAACTAGGCATTACCTTAACTGTAATACTAAGTTTTCCAACTGTATTTACGATGTCCACTTTGCATCCTCCTAATGTCACAAAATTCTACATTTTCCTGCTTCTTATCAAAGCAACCAATCATTCAGAATGAGTGAAGTAACACAAAAAATACTGTTAAGCCCAAGTAATTTTATTATATAATATGGATAGATAACCATTAATTTTGGTAAATCAGAAACATATGGAGGGCACCTCATTGAGGAAGATCTCAAATTAAAGTAGATTTCTGGAAGTCTATTTACAAATTCCCCACTAACTCAGCATCCAACGACTTTCATGGGAAAAAGGTCATCCAGAAAATGCATGGAATAACACTGGTTCTGTTTCACATACAAACTAAAACAATGCTTTCTGCAAGAAGCACTGTTTTTTAGTTTAGTACCTCTTCAGAGAATTCAGTGAGTTCAGTTTTAGTCAGACCATTTAAGGAAATCTTAGTTGTTCAATTAATATCAAATGGTAAAGAAGCAATACATCTGGCCATCTCAGCAATAAAACTAGACATTAAGCCTAAGATAAGAATATTCCAATGGTGCTATTAAAGTAATGTTTTTGTTGAAGTAAACAAAGAGGGATTATGGATGGTTGATAGTGAACAAGGTCCATTTTCAGAATAGGAAATTCATGTTTGCTTTTTGTGAGATGGGCGGTATCTAAATTTGAAATATAAATAAAATAAATAAATGTTCAGATCTCTTTAGCTTAAGAGATCTCACTGGACCATTGCTATAATTACCTAATAACTCTTATTCTTTCTTTATTACCCTGTTTTCTTCCAGGAAACTGGAGGCATACTCAGTTCTAATTAGGATGCAATGTGAAACTGATTAGATTAATCAGTTAAAACATTTAACTAATGTAAAAAGTATCCTGAATTAACCAGACACTGTAGTTTTAAAAAATAAATTACTTTAGAAATATGTATGTCAAAATGTCTGTGACACCAGATGCCATCTTATAAGAAGCTTTCCATATCTCCTCCTATAGGGTGGAAATTATTTTCTCTGATATGTGCAGGAAATTTAGTTATCTATAAATAAAAACATATTCATATACATACATATATACATTTACAACAACCTATTGGTATGATCCAGTCTTTGTAAGAGTACATCCTATTTAAGCCAATGAAATTTGATTTATAATTGATCCAACTGATTCTGCTTGTACTTAAACCTGGATTCAATCAAATATCTCATTTATACGGAAATCTGTGCATATGGAACCAATAAATAAAAAGGCATTTGAGTAACTGCTTACTTTCAGTCAATTTCTAATTACAGTTCCCTTATCCAGACAATGGCCAACCCTCAAACTAATTAGAGTCATTGATATTGCAAAGTATATTCCAGTATGCCCAAAGTTTCTTGCAGAGAATGAATAAAGGTGCAATAAAACTCAAAACCATAGGTGGCAATTGAATGTAATAAACAAATATTGATTGATAAATAATCTAGACGCAAGTCCTCTGGACAATTTGCTAAATGGAGGAATGAGATTTAAAAAACATCCTAAGATTTGACAAAAAGGCAGAATGGGGATTTTTATACTTTGCAATAGCAGTGAATGTTCATTGAAATATATTTAACAAATTCAGTGTTGATTTTGTCCTTTTGCACAGACAAAATAAGAAACAGGAGCAAAATCTTTTTTGAGCAGCCCTGATATGGATATAACTAATCATTATCTTATAAAATAGCAATCTTACCATGGACATTAAGATTAAAATATCTTTGGGCACGTCCTGCTGTGTTCTCCACAACACAGACATACCTGCCTGTATCTGTTATTTGAGTATTATGGATCTATAAAAACAAAGATAGCAGAATGAGACACCTAGGCTAAATAAATAAAATGTATTTACTTTCTCTCTCTTTCTCAGGTGCACACACACAAATGCACACATTGCAAGGGTACAATTGCTGTCTAGTTAAATGTTCAGTAAAGGTAACAAGTAAAGACTTCCTTAAATCCAGCTCATCTCTTGGTGATTATGTGGAACTGTCCAGGCAGATTACTGAGCAAAATTCAGTAGTAGCTTGTTATTGTTTTCTCCTATCTCTTATTTTCCTCTAGGAATGAATGAATATATCAGTTTTGCTCTCTCAGGGTTATGAATCTATCACGTTCTTAGTTTCTGTCCAATTTGGTTCAACAAACTTGAAAATATACTTTTTACTTCACATTATTTGTTTATTATATTTACGTATATGCCACCCTTCTCACAGAAACGTGACTCTAAGGCGGCGTACAATAAAACATTAAAAAAGACAGCAATTACAAAAGCACTCTAGAATTAAAACATGAATATTATTGTATTGTCGAAGGCTTTCACGGCCGGCATACGATGGCTGGTGTGGGTCTTCCGGGCTGTGTGGCCGTGGTCTTGTAGTTTTGTTTTCTAAAGTTTTGCCAGCACCTGTGACCGGCATCTTCAGAGTGCAGGAGCACAGACAGGAGCAGTTCTGGGTACA